CACGACCTCTCCTTTCCCAAGCTTCACCACCCCCGCCGGATTTGTTTGCACGTTTTACATGTGATGGCTGGTGCTATTTTCATGGAAAGAAGCTTTCATGAGCATCACCTGTTTCGCCACCCCAAAGAAGGCACGCATCATGAGCATGAGCCCGATGCCCGTAACCTTACAAGTAGCTTTCGGTTTTGCCTTGCTTTTTTTGACCTTGGAAGCTTGTCTATGTGAGTTGAGCTTCACCACAAGCAAAAGGGTCTTTCTCGGCAACTTCGGATTTGTCCTGTCTTTTGGCGTTGGGAGCTTCTGTAAATGCTTTTCTTACGCTTTCTACCGAACTCAAGGGTTTCAGGCGGCACGGTCTCGGCAGCTTGGGATGTTTTGTCCTGTGTTTTTGGTGTTGGTTGTTTGTGTCTATGATTTACTTGTACGATGTCTACCAAAACAGCCCCACCACAGCCCCTCCCCACCCCCCCTCCCCTCCTCGCGTACCCAGATTCGGTTTTTCGGGTTTAGGTTCTCGGGCACAGCATGCATCTCAAGTCCAGGCATTCGCTACTCAGGCAGCTTGTCAAGCGTTGGAAAAATACCCACTCGCCCAAAGAGTCAATCCCATAACATTGAGACTGTTTCACTCCATCCGTATACATCGCTCATTTAGGGACCAACAGCAACACCTTATCCCTGAAACCCTGTGGGCAAAATGCCTGGGCCTTGCACCCCTGGGCCCTGGACCCGCTTAGGCAGGACCCCAAGCCCGAAACCCTGGGCCAGCCCTACGGCCCGGCTATGACAAAAAACTCTTAGTCTTAGTGGTGATTTGACTGTCTGATTGATGCAAGCCGGGGCGGTGACAGAACTTCTTTTTGTTGCTAGTTACTGCTAGTTTTTCTCTGATGGTTTCATGCAAGCCAGGCGGTGAGAAATCCAAAAGTTCCGTTTATGGACCACTTGAACGGCTGTAAGCCACTTCAACAGTGACTGTCTTACTTCTGGAAGCCCGCTTTACAAGTGACCGTGCCCGCCCCACCTCCCGCCCACCCCCCCCACCCTTCCTTCCGTACACTTCCTCCCTATAAGGAGTCGACACATGTCGATAATCACGCCCCGCGTCGACTCAGAGCATCTGCGAACAATTTTTCGGAGCGGCCGCTGACTCGCAAGGCGTTCTCGATAATGTTGCTTTGCTTATTGGCACGTCCTCACTTTCTGTGTGCGTTTGTCTTGCTTATGGGAATGTCTTCGCTCATTGTATGCGGTTGTTTTGTTTGACTTTTGTTTAGTGGCGCGTCTTCGCTTACTATATACGGGTTGTTTCGCCTTTGGAGTTTGACTTCGTTTGCTATACATGCGGTTATTTTGCCGGTTGGTGCGTCCGCTTTCTATGTGCGGTTGCTTTGCTTATTGGTGCATCCTTGCTTACTCTGCGGTTGTTGAGAACATGTGCGCAGTCTAGATTTCAAGAGGTATCCAAAACACGCGATTGAGAGAGAACAAATGGAGCAACACACGCTCACGGAGGTCACGTCAGCGGCGTATTGCTTCTCAAGATCCCCGCTTGATCCAAATGTTGCGGAAATGTGCAATAATGGAAAAACTGTGTGGAGATCGCGATCCGAACCTCGAGGCCTAGCCAAAACACACGATTAAGAGAAGGAGGACGTGCAAACGACAGATTTTTGAGCAATATGCGAGATGATGTAAGAACATGCGCTTGGGCGGACCGCGATACAACTCAAGATTCCCGCATGATGAACTTTCTCGGCGGCAAATTTGTCACAGTGCTCACATTTGGCACTTGTCAAGATGTTCGAAAGTTCGAAACTAATGATGTCTTTCATCAACATGTGTTGACGTCCTGTACGCCAACTTGGGTCATGAGACCCAGCACACTTCCAAGCCAAATTCCGAAGACCAGCGACAAAGACCTTAGACGCATAGAGCTAGCGCAGCATTTGACCTGTTGATGCGGCGGAGGACGTGTGCTTGCAGCAGGGCGGCATCATGGTACCCACTGGTTCCCGTTCATCGGCGGAAACGCCACGTTGCTCTGGCCCAAGCATCATAGATAATGTTGACACCTCAGCTCTTTTAGCTTTCTTCTCCCAATACGGGTGCAGGCGTTTCGGCTCCCTTACACATGTCTTGTGCTTTGTTGCTCTCGGTCCCCCGCGTAGCCGTTGGAAAACGCGAAGGCAACCTAGCTGCTCCCAAGCGCCCAGAATACAATCCAAACTGCAACTGGAATCTCGGAGAATCTCACAGACTCTGCCAAGGTGCCATCACAGCAAACTGCAGGACATCACTCTGCGCCCAACTCTGCAAACTCTCGCGTTGCATAGCGATGAACAGTGGTATGAAAAGGATTCGCAGACCAGCAAGGAACGAGACAACGTACCCTTCACTGATGCGCAGCACCTGACAACTTTGGGCAAGAAACCGGCTGCTAATGGCTGCTAGCACCGACATGCCGACAAATTTCTCGAACTAGTGCAGTTCAGTCACTGACCATTTCGGCGCAAAGCGGCCGACGGGATCCATTATCTGAAAAAGTGAAATGAGCACTGGAACCCTGGCGCCAGGCGAAAGCCTGGAAGTGACACCTCACTGGGCAAATGCGTAGATGGCTGGATCTCGCAACAGAAATCCTTAAAAACACTATTCCTGCCTGGGAATACGGTGAAGCTGACAGTGAAGACAGCCATCACCGTCAAGGCCTCCCACCATATCGTCACAAGCAGGAGTTGCCCATGCGGGTGCTGCCATTTCCGTGACATGCTCTGTCTCAGGGCCTGTGGCCAGGCGTTCTGAACCAAGATCTCGCGTGAAGACCGTGCACGTGTCAGCACAGGGCTGCTGGAGGGCGTCACCTGGGAAGGCCACGCAGATTGGAGTCCTAAGTTCTTTTTGCACTTGCATCCTCCAGCTCCTGGCTGCAGCAATGGGCTACATTTAGCGATGGCAAGACGATGATGAGCTAAATGGCATGGCCTGGCTCTCAGCAGGCGCGCAGGGCTTCAACGCCCCCGCTTCCTGCACGATCCTGCGAGGCAAGGGGAATGGCCAGACTGGCAGAAGACATTGTGCGCATCGTGCAGGAAGGCTGAACTGACGAACAACTGATGGTGCCGAGGGGCGGGTTGCGGATCATTTGATAAAAAATTGGGATGCCCAGCAGCTCAAAGACGGCGGCAAAAGTGAAGCTGAAGATGAGCCCGGACCTGCTGGTACTGAAGGCGGCGCCGATGATGCTGGAGAACCTCTCTGAGTTTGTCACGCTTTCAACTTCTATTGTGAGGCCTTAACATTAAGGAGGGTCTTGTGATACTGTACGATTTTATGGCGACTTTACTGTGTCTCAGACTGTGACACATCCGTCTGCTGACTTTGATCTGTGGAACTTGGCGGAACTAAGGCACGGAGGCACTAAGGCCCTGGCACCCCACCCAGGCCCTGACCAAACATCAGGGCCTGGGCGAACCACGGGGAAAGGCATCCAGCCAAGCCGAAGGCACAGGCTTGCCAGATTCCCGAGGCCGCCCCCGTGAGCCTTTCTTTTTAAAAATCCAAAAGGAGTTAGCTAACAAAACTCAACAGCACATCACAGAGAATAGAAAGGGAGAGAGCGAGAGAGGGAGAGGGAGGGAGAGGGAGAGGGAGGGAGAGGGAGAGGGAGAGGTAGAGACCCGAATCCAAAATCGCGAGGGACGACACGCATGCCACGGCCATCGCGAAGCCTCAGAACTGATCCGCCGCTCTATGCCACTTCCAAGTCTTCCAAGCGATTCGGCACGCTTATGAATGAGCCAAGGAGCCCATCTCAAGTGTGTCGGGGGTCGTGTAGATATGGCATAGCAAAAGGCCGATCAGCGACAACGCAACACATATCGCAGCTACATTCCACCGCACTGCAAAAGGGATTCGGGACAAGACCCTGCGACTGGTGAGAACGAGCTGGGTAATGTTCACGGCCAGCGAGTAGGCCATCGAGCACCAAAAGGCCCAACCAGCTCCAGCAAAGCGCTTTCCAAGGAAAAGCGTGCAGTCGAAGCTGTGAGTAAAGCTCCTCATTGATTCCATTCCGTTGCATGGCATCATCACACTCATCACACAAGGCTCATGCTCCTGCGTAAAGCTAGCAAAAACTTATGCGAAGACACAACCTTGCCTTTTCCACTCTGGTAATTGGTACAGGTACCCAACAGGTGCCCACTTGCTCGGACCCTTCCGGGCGTCACCATTCAGTCCAAGCGTCAGAATAATTTGCCAGCCGAGAAGTGATGCGACGCCTGTAAAATAGAAACAAGCTTGCAGGCGACGAGACTGGAGCGCCCGTGTGGGGTTCATCTCTTCGGTCATCGGGTCGATGCTTCCGATCGACCAGACCTCTGAGTCCGCCATCGCACGTGCCATAGCTCCGAATAGCAAAATTGCCAGAGGTGCTGCTGATGCTAAACGGCTAAACTCGTAACTCAGACTTTGTTGGAGTCCACGTCTTGATCCGTGGTCTGCCACAATTTGTCCTCTGAAACGGGCTGCTTGTTTGCATGAGCCATTGAAGTGGCATCGGCATTCTTGGTATGATTCACAGTGTTCCTCTCCTTCCTTTAAGACTCGCTTTTTACGGCAGTTGGCAGCTCTCTCGACAGCTCACGTAGCCGTGCAAGGGCATTGCTTTTTGCACCGCGGCTGCTGCGACCTGTGCTTTGTGGATCTGGTGCGCGAAGCTTGCGAAAGCTTCGGCCGGCTTCGGCCCTCCGCATTGTTTTCCTGGCCCGACTCCGCCCGACTCGGAAGGACGCCGCCTCACCAACTAGTCAGCCGTCGGTGCTCTCCCGATTTTCGCTATAAGCACACAGACACCACAAAGGCATCTAGAGTCCAGCTAAACAGCTACAGCCAAAGCAGCTACCGAGAATGTTGGTGTTTGAGCTCAAAGTGACCAGCTGCCCGGCCTGTGACAGCTTGACCAGGTCACTGCCACAGCGATGCCTCCTGCTTCTCGAACCCGGGCCTCATATGGACTCACGTGTGGTTCATTCCCTTACACTGTTACACGATCCAAAGGATTCTTGGATGTGGAGCCCTTAGAGCAGGATGATTGTCCAACTGTTTTCGCTCGGCATGCCGGCCAGGTAACTTGAATAGCTTCAAAACTGGCCTGGGCATTTTCAGAGTACTGTATTTCACTGATTAAAGAAGAATAAAAAAATGAGCTAAGTTTACAGAATTCCACAAACGCCTTTCTAGCGCTTGCAGCATTAACGTCGTGCGCAAAGACAAGTATTGTTGTGCTCACTTCGTTCACTTTATGATTGTCTTGTACTGGTTTCGATTCATTTATTTACTAAGGAAAATCCCGAAGTCATCCAATACGATAAAACACCGAAAGGACAGGAATACACCTATGATTGTTTAGGCAGCAAAGTGAGTAACAGCGAACGAACAACGTGTGAGCTTTGTATGATTACGGGCCCGTGTCCTTTGCCTTGCGGTGAGATTAGAAGAAGGAGGCGAGGGAAGGGGGATGATGTTGGAGATATCTTGATCGGCGGCTCAACTCAGCGAATGATTCGCGAGTACACGGTCAACCTTGGATTCCTCGTGAGCGTTCGTGCGCTCATGCAATTCACGCATTCACCTGTGTCATGCGTTTCCTTGTCATTGCAATCATTACGCTCTCCCCACCTTTAAGAACATTCAGATGCGACTAATTTGGCAACCGTATTCCTAAACCTTATTCCTATTCTAAATTATTTGTATGTGTGGTTCCATAGTATGGTTTTCAAGGTGAGGCGTAGGTTGCTATGGTTTGGTTTGGGTGCTAGGGGGTGGTGCATGTTTAGAAAATGCAATGGTCTCCACTAACATATCGCCCGTACTTATATCATGGTGTACGCCTGTGACAGAAGTGAACACGCCATGACCCTCACATTCTACGTCATCTTGTAGGCTTTTGATGATTTTTTACTTCAACTACTTACTTTCATGATTCATAATCTTGTTCGCACGCCACAAGCCGTCTCTGGTAATGTGCCCGCGCTTCGTTCACCCCTTTCACTCACGACCCCATTCGTGCGGTCCTTTCACTGACCGAGGGCCCCTTTTCAAAGACTTAGTTGGGCCTCACCTTGTACAACCTGCGGGAGGTCTCCCTAGGCCTGCCATCCCAGTCATCCTTCCAGGCCCCTCCCGGGCCTAAGCCCGCGCCCTGGCCAGGTTGGCACCCTTTTGATGCATTGCAAGAGCGGTGACCCACAAGCGTCCTTATGTAAAACAAGAACAATATATATATATATGTTTATTTATTTATATACATACATACATACATACATACATACATACATACATACATAGAGGGAGACCGTGATTTTAGTGTCCCTCTATGTAGGGAGTAAGTTGGCTTGGTGTCCCATTATGTAGGATCTAATTTGCTCAGTGTTGCGGCTTCATACACAAAATGTATTACAGATAATGTGCTGCTAGCACAGATCCAAAAGCATCCTGTTAAACCTGTTCCTCTTTGACCGCATCACACACCTCTCAGTTCTTGGCAGCTGCAGGGGCGGGCATTGCTGCTTGACCTCCCAGAACTGTCGCTCCTGCAGATTTGTTTGGGACGAAACATGAAAAAAAGGCACGCAGCTTGCATCCTCAAGCCTGGCCTCGAATGTAGAGGGGAACCGGTTGTCAAAAGCTTCTTTCACCAGCTGTGTCACTTGCATCGGGCGCTCGATCATGTTGCCAGCCTGCAGCAGCAGCAGGAGCGGCTGTCAATACGCTCTCCATGCCAACACGCTTCAATGTGCAGTACAGTAGGGCCCAAGCCAGGTGAAGCATGAGAGGCGTGTAGCGTTTTGTGTCCTCCTTGAATATGGGGTACTGGGCCTGGCATGTGTCTTGGGCGGAACCTTCAGGTCCTTTGGTGAACTGTTCTTTGGCGACGGGCATTGCTTTTCAGCGACCGGACCAGGTTCATCAACCCGTACGATCCCTGAGCCAGGGCCCAGTAACGCGGAACACAATGCTACCGAAGTCCGCGGCTTTATCCGCCTGGACCCTGTTGTGCTCCATCAAGACCTGGAGGAGGTGCGATATGGCAATACTGCAACTGCACAACCTACTGAGACCTTTAAGGGCTTTAGCCGACTTTAGCCGACTTTAGCCGGCTTAGCCACAGGTGCAGAAGCATCGAGGGCCAAGCCGCCGAGATGGGCAAGCGCGATTTGGAGATGATGTCCGAGATTGCAACAAGCGACCTCACAGCTGTAACACGTTGAGAGTAGGACTGAGTAGGAGAAACAGGCACCATCAGGAACCCCCATGAAGTCGACAGGAAGTGCGTACTCATAAGTTCCTGACGCCTCTGTGAGGCGATTGCCATTCAGGTTCAAGATGCGTACGTGGACATCGCACTTCTGCAGCAGGGCCAGCAGGTCACGCAACCCTGCGTCCTGCAAACTAGGGAGGCGTTCAGCAAACCACGGCAGGATGGAGCAGTAACTCTCGGTGACGTGGCGGGCCAACCAATTGGAGACGCGACGGGGGCCACAGGAAGACCGTGGTGCTTCGCGGTGCTTTTCCCTTATCTGGGATTTCGGGGGCTGGGGGAGGGATGTGGTAATTAGGTCAGTACTTGAGCCTTCCGCCACCCAAGTATGTGTTCTTCCCGGCCGATGACTCCGAGCCCAACAGACAACCCTCCCCCCTCCCAACACTCATTGAAGCCCTTCGGGGCGAAAGCAGCGCCTCGACCAACACTTTCACCAACATTTCACAACCCCGCAAACGAGCAGAGCACCAGAAATCTTGAGTTTGCACACCTGAAGCGCAGATGTGCTGTACCGGTTTCCGCAAGCAAAACTCTGGTGCTCAGAAAACGATCGAGTTTGCCAGGACATGATCGCCGGACAAACGCAGAAGCTTTACAGGAGCCGCTATATGTGCACTGATGTAGTCCTACTGTGAAATCTTGCTGTTAAGAGCTCCCAGGAAGACGTCAAACTGCGGATCGGGCTCAGCCGAACAGTTTGCGCTCTGTGGGTGGCTTGCTGCTCCGTTGTCTTGTTTGCGGGAGGGCCGGACAGTGGCGGCACCAGAGTCACATCCTGGCTTGCCCACTACTGCATGCTCATTCTCGCGTCGCAAAGCGTGATACTCAAAGTCTGCACCAGCGTTGACCTTCTCGGTCGGTGCTGTTTCGCCCGGGTGGCCAGGGCCCCACCACGTCTTCCCCAGCCATGCTTAAGCGGCACGAACTGTAGACCGACAGGCCTCGGCATCTCAGCGGCTTTGACTGGGAACTTGCTTCCTGTTTCTAATGCCTTCCTTCACAGCAGTTTGGAGCCTCTTTGAATCAACGATGTTCTCCTTACCTTTAAAGCCTCCCAACATGCGAGAACTCTGGCAGGTGTGGGAAAAGCCACTTTCTCAGTCTGACACGTCCTGGACCCGATACAACCTTTTGTGGCAAGAAGACTCTTGAAGTTGACAGATGGAGGAACTTCATAAACAACACAAACTAGAAAGCCATTTGACTTGCTTGCTAAGCAGCACTGCATTCCTGGCCCTTGCCCCGCAAGAGCAGGTCATGCAATCAAAATGGGCTGCTCATGACTCTTCTGACGGCCTCCGTTTGTAAATGTTGCACCGTACCCTTGAAAGCGTGTAGTCCCGATAAGACTGCGCAATGCTGAAGTTGGCTCACTCTTTAAGTTGCTCAAAAGACTTAAGACACATCCTGCACATCTTCGGAGAGAACGTGCAAAGGGGGGGCGCAAACTGAGCAGCAGACAGTCAGACGGTCAGACGCTCAAACAGTCATTACTCAGACTGTCAGATATGGAAGTTGCAGGACTGGATGTGGGACGCTTGAAGTTTGAAGCGTCTGAGTGTCTGCAGTACTACCTCAGAACAGGCCAGGCGGCCAGGCAGTCAGAAAGGCAGGCAAGTCTTACTGTCTTACCCTAGAACAGGCAGACAGGTTCATCTGAGAACCTTGAAGTCCAGAATGCGCAAACGGCAAAACCAGCCATACCGTCAAGTCTCTGAATGTCTGAGTGTTGCGTCTCTGAGTGTCTGTGTCTGCATGTCTGCATGCCTGCTGCGCGGTTAACGACCCCACGCGCGGCCTCAATCCAATTTGGGGTGAAGTTTTCTGCAGCCTATGCTCTGCATGTCAGATTCTTGGACTTGGGGAGGAGGAGGAGGAGGTCGTCCTTTTTGCCAACAAGCCGGCTGCGCAGCCCAGAGTTGCCAACATGCCGTTCAAGTGGCGCATCTTTCCCACACGCCGGCTAGAGAATGAACCGGACGCAGCTGATCGCAACTGACGATGAGAAGCAGCATATGCCATCAGGCACCGCAAAGTACCGTGGCAAAGCATTCTCGCATCGTCCTGGAGGCATGGCAGCATGCCAGGCGACGGCATGCCAGGTGAAAAAGCTTAGACCGCGAGCACCAGATACTGTGTCCAGGGATACCCGGATACCCACGCTTAACAACCCTGTTCGCCACCCTGCACAAAGTTATTGAGCATATCCAGGACAACAATTTGCACATACACATATATACCTGTACATAATATAGCCAGAAGCCTGGCAAGCTCTTGGGAGACTGCAAAGAAAAGGATATTTGCGTGTTCAACAGAGTTCAACAGCAGCTCAAGGAGCCGATCGTGCCTCGAGCGCGTTGCCCGAGAAGTCCAGTTCTGCCTCCGACAGACTGCCGCCGGCACCTTAGAAGGACAAGAGAACTCAAGAGAACACAAACTCAGTGCACAAACGTCTCGCTCTTGTGAGCTGAGCCGTGTAAGATCCGTGTAAGCCTGAAGCTCGCCACTGGTTTGCACGTTTCAGCCCTGATCTTTGTTTTGGCCTTGCCTGTTGGCCTTGCCTGGGTGCACTGGAAGGGGGTGCATGGCTTCCCAGCTGGAACTGCTGGAACTCCTTTGTGAGTCTGTGGCTTGCCTGTATAAGGATTCCCTACGTTCTCTCCAGGTGGAGAAACGAGTGCCCGGCGTCCAAGAGTCTGCAGCAATGCCGGGGCCCAGAGGCACCACTGCGCCTGCTTTGGCGGCTCTAAGGCTCTAAGCGCAACGGTCAAGTCGAGCCCCATTCGCAGAGGCACGAGCCATGGCCGCATCTGTCATCTGCAGCGAGCCTCAGGAGGCGCTGCAAGGCGCCGCCCATCTTTTGCCGTTCACAGAAGCCAAGAAAGGCCCAAGCTCATGTCTGCTCGAAGGATGCCATCATGGAAGGTCAAGCGGTTTGCCCATGATTCCTTGCCAACTGCGGCAAATCTCCAAATCGTGCTGTCTTGTGCTTCCTGCAATCAAGCGGAACCTGTTGCCCTGATGCACAAACTGTGCCTTGTCTTGAGCCCTAATTCGCCTTCCTGCCGAGAAGCGTCTGGAACAAGCAGACCCGGATCGGGCGCCTTCCCCCTAACCCAACCCTTCCCCCCGTGCAAAATTTTGTGACGCCACCCCCCCCCCCCTGTGGGACCCCCCCCAATCGCTTGGAGGAGCTGCAAACCGATGGCGTGGAGGGTCCCGCCTGTCGGTGGCTCCTACAGCCTCCCCCCTCCCTTTAACCCCCGCTGCCCTTCCTCCCCTTTTTTCGCGAAGCCCTCTTTCCTCCTTTCCCGTCCTGGGGCCGGCCCGGCTGCCGAGGCGGCGCGCGCAAGCGTTTACAATTAAAAAATGTGCCGCCACTAAGAAGCTCCTAGGCGGGGCTACTAGGTCGGTGAAGCCGCGCCGCGAGGCTGTCACGCGCGGCCCGGACCATGTGTTTTTTCTCGAAGCCTGCTCTCGCGTTTTGGACCGTGTCCTCAAAACTAGTGTCGTCACTGCTTTGGGGCTCTGGATTCACCAAGTCACGTGTCTGCAATTTGTTTTTCGCTGCCTTTTCTGCCCCCAAGTTTACGAGTTTAGCTGGTCACAGCTGGTTCGCGCTGCCTTGCACACAGTTCCTCTTCTCTCTGAGCGCCTGCCGCCCACATGCAAGGGTGATGTTTGATCGGTTGCTTCACCCAAATAAAGCTACGAGTAGGTTGGTGGAGTCCGCCTGTTGGTGAAGTGCCTGCGGGTTCGGGGTCTCCACCTGCCTCTAGAGTTCTAGCCATGGGCCCCCGTGCACCGGAGAATGCAGATTGGCTAATGCTGCCCCACGAGCCTCATGAGCCTGCCTGTACAGCTATATAAAGATGCAATATAGTTGGCCTGTGCCCTTTCGAACAATCCTGTTGGACGCGAGCTTTGGAGTTAAAAGAGCTTCGGGCTTTACGTTTACATGTTCAGAGTGTAGCGCTCATGACAGGGAGACACCCCTGTGTCAAACACCTCTCGATTTCTTTGGGCATGTCGTATCAATCAGAACCCCTGAAAGTCTTCAGCTTTGGCCGAGACCTATGCTGTCGACACACCCTTCAACTCAAATAACTGCACTGCCTGGGACCAAAGCCATGCCAAGCCCCTTTTCAAGAGGGCTTCGGCGACCCCTTTGGGGGCACTTCCACTTGCACAGCGAGGCCGCGACAATCGATTTCATGACTTAGTGCCCCAAGGTGTTCCGCTATGTCTTGCTCGCTGTTCCGCGCCTCTTGCTTCTTGAGAACCTCTGCGGAAAGCGCTGGCGCCGACGCCTGCACTTAAGGCCCGTGGGAAAGCGCACGTGTCCTGCGTTTGTGGTCCACCCATGCCGACTCAATCCACTCCAGCCTTGCTCTTCGGCCAAGCTGGCACATTCACAGCCTCAAGTTGGGTACCGCTCTCCAATGGCAGAGGTACAAAGTTCATCCAGTTCATCAGGACCCCGTGCCATCGCGGGGATTGGCCTGCATTGGCCGCATGTGCTAAACTTTAAGCACCTAATGTGTCATGAGTCAAGCTGCGCAGCGTGTACGTACTGAGCCGCTGGCACCGCCACGCCAGCCAAGGGAACTGGTCAAACCCAAATTCTTCAGAAAGAGGCATCATCAGCAGCTTTCTGTCGCTTCAGTATCTGCTGTCTCGATCTCGCACACGATCTCTCTCACACTTCGCAACCAACCGGATTCCAACCTGGGAGGCTTCCGTTTGCCTGTGCCTGTGGTGCAGGCGGCCTCAGGACACTTTCAATGCGTGGAGCCAAAGGCCCAGGGCCTTGCAAAAGCTTTTGCCGTTGGCTACATTGGCCTCATTGCATTCCAAGAAGCGCTGCCGACTTTGGTGGGACGGTAATGGGGGATGCAAGGGGGGCCGGCAGCCCAGCTTTTGGCATGCCGACGGAGCTTGGAAGTCCAACGACGAGATGCCTGGCGCAAGGCATTGACGGGCGGAGCTGACATGCCGTACTCTCCATACTGTCACAAGCTCGCCTCGGCCCTTCTGAGGGAGCCAGATTCCCAGGATCTGTCTGTCACAAGACCTATGTAAACCGTTTAGAACCTGAAGATACCGGCGAGATGGCAGGAATGAGCAAGGAAGGATGACGTACGTTTTTTGTAGGATATGTTTTATATCGCTTGTCTTGTTGTGCTCTGCCGTATCAGTTTTTACAGCGCTCCTTACCTTGCTTTATGTTTGCGACGCCCCAGGTTTTTGGGCTTATCCAAAAAACCCAGGATCAAACTGCTGGCAAGCTGCATGAACTGCGGAAACTCTGTGCTGAACTCCACCTGCCATGTGGGAGAAAATCAGCACTTGTGAGGAGAGCCGCGCAGAGTAGTGGCACCCGATCTGCTGGCGACAAGTCCGACCAAAACTCTCGCACAGCATCCCGCTCTGAAGAGCC